CTCTGGCCTGTACCCCAGCTTTGTATGATAAATAAATAAATCTTTAAAAAAAAAAAAAAAAAGACAATGGCCCTCCCTGGTGGTGCAGCGGGCAGCGGGTCAAAGCACAGCACTAAGAAGCTTAAGCCACTTACGCATGAGTTCAATCCCCGCCTGCCCCGGAGGTGACCACATGGTGCAGCAGACCTCTCCTGATCCGCACACTGCTCCCCTCAGCAGTGTACTTCTTCGATCTGCCTGTTCTGCTCCCCACTCTGTCTATGGTGAAGCCTCTCACCGTCCCTGAGCCTCTGGCCTGTACCCCAGTTCTATATGCACAAATAAATAAATCTTTAAAAAAGAAAAAAAAAAACAAGAAGTTACTAATAAGACAAGCATTATGATATTAGAAAGAGACAGATAATTCATGGACTAATAAGACAAGTGTTATGAGCATATTAGAAAGAGACAAATAATTCATATTGGAAAAAACGGGTGATTTTTTTAATGTATTACTTTTTTTAAGAGTTATAATTCTTTTTATTTTTTTCTTTATTGAGGTAACATTGGCTTACAACACTGTACATGATTTAGGGGAATAGATTCACACTTGTTCAACTGTATACCACACCCCTTGGCCTCCACTGAAAAACACACACAGTTCTTTACCGTAGGGAATGGGTCTCTTCTTCCCCTTTGCTCTTCCCCCCCACCCATTCTTCCCCTTCTAACAGTCTTAATTCTGCAGTCATATTTCTAAGATCTGTTTTGGTTTAACTTTCTCAGTACCTCTGCCCCATATTTCATGAGTGAAAATATTGTGGTATTTATCTTTCTTCTTCTGAGTTATTACACTTAGCATAGTCTCCTGGACCAGTCCCATCCATGCTATGCCAATGCCAAGTCATCTTTTCTTAGAGTTCAGTAGTATTCCACTGTGCATATATAGTAATCTTTTTCCCAATGATGAGGTGTTTATTTTATAAAAGCTTATATGGCAATACCTGAGATAAGAATTGACCAGATATTTAATATATAAACACTGGCAAGTTAAATATTAACAGACTACAAAGAAAACTAGATCGACATTTAAACTTACTAGACATTGATTTGCTTTCTTGAAAGAAGAAGAGCATCAAGATTTTAAAAAAGTAAAGAACACAAGCAGGGAAAAACCACATTTACAAATTTTAACATGATAACATGATAGAGATCATGTAAGAGGGGAAAGTTCACTTAATATTATATTTATACTGTGTGGGCTGGTGACAATATTTCTATTTTGGCCACAGTCATATGAAAACTCTTATTAAAATTCCTGCTAAAAGAACAGCAAGAGCAACAGCTAATGCTATTCCTCGATAGATAATCAGCTGTCTCACTGTCAAAACCTCTCCAATGGTGGACAGTCCACCCTGGCTGTTTTCTTCCATCTCCATCAGTGAAATAGTCTGGTCCATTGGCCTGATGTTATCAGGTAAAATCACTCCATTGGTCACTTCTATTTCCTGATTGGGGAGGGTTATTGAGTTAGACATGGTCTCTGCAGTTCCCTTTAGCCCAGCTCGAACTTGTGCCTGCTCTGCAGCTTGATTCCAGTTTATCTTGTAGATGAACACCAAGTAGAAGAGACATTGAAAGAAGACACAGATGATAATTCCAGTCCAAAAACCTTTTATGCCAAGGTTAGCTGCAAACATCAGAGACAGTCCAATGGGAAAACCAAACACATAATAACCAATGGCGTTCAAGATGGCGCCCATCTTTTGATCTCCAGTGCCTCTCACGACTCCACTGCTGGTGCCTGAAAGTGTATCAAACAGAAAAAATGGAGCAAAAATTGGAATCACTTGGCTCACAAGAGAAATAATATCTTTGTCACTGGTAAATACATAGCCAATCACATCCTTCAGAGCTAGTAGTGAAACACTGATCCCAAGTCCGCACACACCAGCACACAGGTAGGCTGTGATGCAGGACTGCCGAGCCTGTTCAGCATTCCCTGCGCCCAGAGCGTGGCCCACACGGACACTGGCTGCCACACCAAGGCCAATAGGCACCGTGAAGGCAACAAAGGACAGTGTGTTAATGATACCTTGAGCTCCGAGCTCTGTCACATTAATCAGTCCTGCAAGCAGAACTCCGATTTCAAAGGCCCAAGTCTCAATGCACACCATGAACATACTGGGAACAGCCAGGCGGATGAAGGAGCCCCACTCCTGGAAACAGTCCCTGCTCCAACCTCCCCACGTGTCCAGGTAGAGTTTTCTCCACCAGATGTAGAGGAAAAGCAGCACACACAGCAAGTACTGGGAAATAGTGTTTGCCCAAGCAGATCCCGACACCCGTAGGTCCAGGACATACAGCAGCAGGTAGTTCATGCCCGCGTTGATGACATTTACCGCCATCACAGTGAGAACCTGAGGCAGGATGATACCCTGATTTTGTAGATATCTCATCAGGAGCTGGAACAGGAACGCTGCGGGAAGGCCAGGAATAAAAATCATCACGTAATCTTGGGCTAGCCTGGAGACGTCGGGGTCTTGTTCTAGGAGCAGCAGGATGTGCTCAGTGTTGATGAAGACGGCCCAGCAAGGAAAGCAGCACAGGGTCAGGATGAGGATTCCTCTCTGGAGTGTGACCCCCACGCGTTTGAGGTTCCTGCCCCCAAAGGACTGAGACATCAGAGTATCACAAGCCGAGGCCAAGCCAATTCCAACTGAAATCCCAGTAACAGTCACAACCGACACTGCCAGCAGGACCGCATCCAGCTCCACCTTGCCCAGGTGTCCACAGAATATGGAACTGACGACTTCAATGAGCAAGGTCATCAACTCTGTGAGGAACACGGGGCCGGCTATTTTCAGCAGCTCGGTCACCTCCAGCCGCCACTCTGTGGGCAGCTTGCCGCGAAGTCTCCTCAGGCAGCCGCGCGCGCTGGGGGCGTCCTGGCTCCCGGGGCTGCCTAGCACTGCGGCGGTGGCAGCAGCGTGGTGCTCTGTCGCTGTGGGGAGCTCGGCAGGCGCTGGAGTGTCTGGGCCTCTGGGAGGCCCAAGCGGCCAGGGAGGATCCGCGGAGGCCGGGGGAGGCTCCATGTCGGAGCAGGCCTTTACACAGAGACAGGGCGGGAGCTCGGGGGCCTGCCCCGCCCCACGAGGGGCTGGACTCTGAGCCGGAAGGCCGCCTTCTGACCTGGGTCCCTCCCTCCCACTGCGCCTCTGGCTGGGCGCTCTCGCGTGGGGACCTCGGGGAAGGAGGGCAGAAGCCCTGAGAGGAGAGAACACCACACCTTACCGCACTGCTCTCCACGGGCATCGGGGTGTTCCCACCTGTGGCCCGTGCTGCAGTGACTGTGTCCGTGCATTTATCCCTTCACATGGGTGTGTCTGTGTCTTGGGTAGATTCCGAGAGCAGTGAGTTTGCTGGATTGTCGGGTGTGTCTGTTTTTAATGTGTTGAAGACACCCCCGTGCTGTTTTCCACGGGGCTGGGTGGGCTTCCACCCTCTCCGACAGTGCATGAGGTACCTTTTTCTCCACTCCACATCATGATTTGCTGGTACTTTTTCTTTCTTTTCTCCCTAGGGGGGCATTCTCTCTGCAGGGAAGCTGGCTCCCTCATTGTGGTTTTGATTTGCACCTCCCTGATGATAAGTGATGTTGGATGTTTTTCCTGTGCCTGTTGGCAATCTGTAGGTCTTTTGTGGAAAAGTCAAAGGCACTTCCACCCATCTTTTGACGGGGTTCCTTGTTTTTTTTTGTTGAGTTGTATGAATTCCCTGGAGATCATGGATATCAGCCCCTTGTCAGATGTATGATGTGCAGAAGTTTTCTCTTATTCATAGTGTCTTTTTATAATAATGATAGTTTCTTTTATATTTATTTATTTAAGTTTCATTCATTCATGCATGCAGAACTGGGGTACACACCAGAGGTGCAGGAGCTCCAGTATGAAGTCCATATGTATTGAAGCATTACAGCAAGTAATAAAACCATTAAAAATTATATGAAGATTATGGACAATAGTTATTTCTTGTATGGATGGAAAAATCTCTTTAAAAGCATGAAAGTAATGGGAGGAAAAAACGTAATGAAAAGGCTGATAGAGGTAACTATTGGAAAATGTAAATCAAACAATACTATAAAACTACATGGCAAAAAACAAACTGGAATGAACACTTGCCTATCAATATGTCAAGGGTATTCATGTATTATAAAAACTGAGTTTTAAAAGTGGCTGATTTCAATAGAATGCAGGCAAAGGACATCTACACGTTAAATTAATGAAAAGGAAGTGGAATGTTAATGAGCTAGTTATTAAAGCAGTACAAATGAAACAATGGTTAGATTCTACTTTTTCCTCATCAAACTGACCAAGATGTCAAAGATGATAATACCCAAGGAAAAATGAGGCTCCAACGGACCATGCAGTGATGTCCAGCAGGGAGAAGCTGGAACAGAACATTGGGAGAGCAATTTGAAAATAAGAGGCTGAAATGTTCATATGCGCTTTCCCTTTGATTCTATGTCAAGAATGCGTTCTTTGAAGAAAAGAAAGTTGAGGTGAAAGTTTATTTGCTAATGCATTTGTTTTCACATCTCATTTAATGGTAAAAAGACAAGCAAGCTAAATAATCAAAAAATTAGGAAATCATTTAAATATAACCTGATATAATGGAATACTATGCAGTAATTTTTTTTTTGCCCTCTAGTGGTGTTTAATAAAAGTTAGCCTATCCTGAAAACATCATTTTGTTGGTACAGACCAATTCTTTTTTATACATGTTGACTACATATATGTACATATTATATTAACAAACTGACATAATTAAAATAATATTTTGGATATTATTTGGTACAACTCATTACCCTAGAATTTTAATAAAACACATTTTTTTGCATGAAAGTTATTCCCAAATCTACTTATAAATGGCATCACCATTATTGAATTAGATTATTTGATGGGATCTTTTTTTAAGTTTATTTTTACATCATTTTGTACATTTTTTTTCCATCTCAGTTGTAATCCCCAAGGGTTTCCCATCACCAAGTCACCTGTGCTATGCAGTAATTTTTAAGTCATGATTTTGTTTTGTTTTTTAATTTAATTTAATTATTATTTTTAAAGATTTTAGTTACTTATGCATACATGAACTGAGGTACAGGCCAGCGGTGTGGGGTGGGGGGGTTGGGGGGGTAAGAGGATTGACCAGACACAGAGTGGGGAAGAGAATAGGCAAATTGACTGAAATACACCGCTGAGGGGAGCAGCAGGGGAGACCGCAGAGGTCAGCCACCCCATGTAGGTCACCTCCCTGGCCAGGGGTCCAACTCAAGTGCAGTGGCTGTGGACCTCCTCCTAGTGCTGTGCTTTAACCCATTGCACCACCAGAGAGAGCCTTAAGACATGATTTTGAAGAAAACTTAATGGCATGGAGAATATGTGTGATGTAATAATGTTAATTAAATAATATCTAAAATTATGTAGTGTGATTCAACTTTTCTTCCAAAATGAATGCTCTCCAAAATTTTAAATATGAATATAACCAACAGGCCTACAAAATACATATAAGTGGACTAAAAAAATATTTGGAATGGTGGAAAATAAATATAAAGGATTTAAATAATATTTGGAACAATAGAAAATAAATATAAAGGGATTAAGCAATATTTGGAATGATAAAACTAGAAGTTTCCTTTTTTATGAGTTTTATTTACAACTCTAGATAGTCTTATGATTATATGTTTTTTCTATAATTACAAATCAGTTTCGGGGATTATATGTATGTGCTTTTTGACATATGTAGGTTGAAGGGAAAGCTGAAGTCCATATGGAGATGATATTGTGTGACCCAACTTTTCTTTAAAATGAATGATCTGCAACATTTTAAATATGAATATAAATTAAAAAATGGTTCTAGAGGGCCCTCCCCAGTAGCATAGCAGGTTAAAGCACAGCACTAAGAAGCTAAAGCCACTTCAGCATGATTTCGATCCCCGCCCTGGGAGCTGACCCACATGGCGCGGCAGACCTCTCCTGACCCGCCCACTGCTCCCCTCAGCAGTGTACCTTGTCCGTTGGCCTGTTCTGCTCTGCATTCTGTCTCTGGTGGATCCTCTCACCACCCTTTCACCTCTGGCCTGTACCCCAGTTCTGTATGCATAAATAAATAAATCTTTTTAAAAATGGTTCTAGAAAATAAATATACATGGGCTAAATAATAATTGAAATATGGGTGATTAAGAGTTTCCTTTTTTATGGATTTTCATTATACCTCTGGGTAGTCTTGTGATCATATTTTTTCTATATTGACATATCAGTTTGGGGTTGTGTGTGTGTGTTGACATTTGTAGGTTGGAGGGAAAGCTGAAGTCCCTGTGGAGATGATGCCCATAGGTAGCCAACTGTCCCACAGGTGTCTTGAGGTGATGCCATGTTCACGTCCACCTGCCATCCACTGGAAATTCGGAAGTTACCAGCATCAGAAAACTATGGTGCAGTGAATCAGGCATGTCTACTGGACAGAGTTGCCTGTGGGGAAGTGGTGCAGGACCCTGGGCTCCAGCCCAGCTCTGCCTCTGATTGCCACCCCCTCCACTCCTAGGAAGCTGCCTGACTGCCCCACGGGGATTTATAAGTGGAGGCAGTCACCTCAAGTACATTTCAGAGGATGAAGGTGTCATGTAAGTCAGCATGAGTTGGAGACTGCTTTTGGAATTATCTGGAAGTTAGTTTTTCCAATACACAAGTACATGTTTCTCTCAATTCACACTCCTCGGACTAAACTTTATTGTAGGCAGCAGCATCCAGTGAATCAGTGCATACATGCTAGCTTTTATTGACAAATGATGAAATGTTGGAACTTAATGTCCATATTATTACAATGGACCTACATGAGCAATTAAAATACATTAATAATGATGTTTAGCCCCTCCCTGGAGGTGGAATGGATTGGGACCCAACACTGCAAGCTAGCACAGCTGCTTCAGTGCAAGTTCGATTCCTGGTTCTGTAGGTGATCCACATGGCATGGCAGACCTCTTCTGACTCACTGCTGTACCCCTCAGCAGTGTACTTCATCAATCTGCCTGTGCTCCCTAGTTGTCTCTGGTGAAGCCTCTCACCACCCCTGTGCCTCTGACTTGTATCCCAGTTCTCTATGCATAAATAAAGAATAAATAAATCTTAAAAAAAAATAATGATGATGTTTAATTATTAGCCAAAGTGTTCTCTCATCTCTCAATGGAAAGAAGCTGTTCGTTAGTCTAACATGGATGTGTTCAAATAATAATCATTCTCTTTGTTACTCAGAAGAGGTCAGAATCCAGACTGAACTTCGGAGCCTTGAAAGAAAAACAATTAACTTCTCTCCTGAAAGTTCTTTTAGGATTTAAACACCAGGTTGTATCTTTTTTCTGAGAAGCTCAGTGTTCCACCCTAAGTAGTACTGTGCTGTGTTAAAATGCAGCTATTTATTTTTAACCTCACTGTCTAGCTCTACCAGTTAGGCTGAATATTCTAGAAAACAGGGCTATGTGTTCGACTGGATGCCATTACCATCATGAATGTTTAGTGCACAGTTCATAGGAACACTATGAACACTAAGTAAGTTGACGACTTCTTTAAAATTTGTTTACATAGGTTACAATTTAATCCCATGTCAATTCTGTGATTCCATGAAATGATATGACAAGTTTTGAAAAAACCTGCTGCCTCAACTCTGTCTCTCAAAGACATGCATCTGCTAAGATTCTTGCCATCACTTCCTGTTTTAGATAACACACTGATTCCAGAGGACTGTATTGAGACAAAAATATCTACCCTGGTAGGTGTCACTAGCTAGCACACTGTCTCTGACAGCTTCCCAGCCTAGAAAAGTCGATCGGATTTCAGATGGGGTGGAACACCCAAGTGACAGCTGTGAACAGGAGAAGCTCTGGGCCTGAACATGATGAGTTCACTGAACCAGACCCACTGGAGTGGGGAGGGGAAGGCCCACTTGGGTCAGAGGGCATCTGGACAGAACCTGAATTAATCTGTAGCTTGGAGCCTTTGCGAACCACCCAGCAATGTTGGGTATGAACCAAGTTATTTGA